CTCTCTCTCTCTCTCTCTCTCTCTCTCTCTCTCTCTCTCTCTCTCTCTCTCTCTCTCTCTCTCTCTCTCCCTCTTTCTCTCTCTCCCTCCCTCTCTCTCGCTCTCTCTCTCTCTGTCTCTCTTTCTCTTGCCATCTCCACCGACCTGAAAAGTCCTGCCATGCTTGGTTTGCGTAGACCGTCAGAATGCCCACACATGTACGCGATCTGTGGCGATTACATTGGGTTCAGTCGCCGCGAACGAGCAGTGTCGTGTGATCTAACAGGGATTTCTCTCCGTGAGTCCGATGTGTGATCGCGGTGACGTTCGGGGCCATTTGATTGTGACGTTTGATTGGGCCGTGTGATGAAGGCGGAGATCGCCTCTCTGTCGCTCTCTCTCTCTCTCGCTATCTATTTATCTCTCTTTCTGTCTTTTATCTCGTTCGTTTTTCTGCGCTTGTCTGTGTTGCTCGCACAAAGTTTGCGAACGTAAATGACAAGCGCAGACAAACGAACGAGACAGAACCAACAGCGTCGTGTTCCACCACCATCATCATCCCCGTCATTAGTTTTCTATCAGTGCCTCTAGTTCCATTGGCGACCACTCGCCCCGATCAGATGGCACACTCACACGTCCACGTGGCGGGTCCTGAAAAAGCGTGGGCACACTGATGGATGCGGGGCTCTATGCGGCAACAGAATGTTGTCAAATAGAACCCCGCACCCATCAGCATGGCCACACATGATCAGCACTTGACCCGTGGACATATGTGCCGTCGTGTTCAACTACCATCTTCGTCCCCGTCGTTAGTTTGTCTTCAGCGCCTCTATTTGAAACGTCTTATGTGCTGGCCTGTTTCTTTCCCGAACTTACCTCGGGGTGCGTTTGCGGATTTCGTTCCATTCGCGACCACTCGCCCCAATCAGCGCGGCCACGCATGTTCAGGACTTGACATGTGGACGTCTGAGTGTGCCATCTGATCGGGGCGCGATGAAGGAGTTCTGGGAGCAAGAATGCATGTGTTTCATTGGCGATCACTCGCCCCGATCAGACGGCACACTCAGACGTCCACGTGTCACGTCCTGAACAAGCGTGGCCACGCTGATGGATGCGGTGCTCTATGCGACAACAGAATGTTGTCGAATTGAGCCCCACATCCATCAGCGTGGCCACGCATGTTCAGGAGCTGACACGTAGACGTGCGAGTGTGCCATCTGATCGGGGCGAGTGGTCACCAACGAAACGGGACCCCCGAATGCAGCCCGAGAATGTTGTGACATGCCCTTCGAGATTGTGTCGTCACTTCAGATGTTTTCTTGAAGTGTTACTCGCTTGTCGTCAATTTGTTGTCTCTCTCACGAACTGCAATATAAGGATTTTAGTCGTATCTTGCCGAGCATGAGAACATGGTTTCTCACGAAACGTGTCTCTTCTGGATTGCACATGGACTTTCTTCTCGCTGAATTAATTTTTATTGTGTTCGGTTTGTTTATTTGTTTTATCGCGTAAGTCGCGTCGTGCAGTTCGCTCGGCATTCGGTTCTGTATCCGTAAATTGTCCTCCACATTCGTCGAATCTTTCACATTTTTCGTCACTCTTCCTCTCGCCGACACGAACAATTTTTTCTTATATTTCTTTTGCGCAGTTTTGTTACTGGGTCACACCATCCGCAGGATCTGCACATGGAGAGAGAGAGATAAAGACAGGCTCTCTCGCTGCCCATGCTCTATCGATCTTAGTCTCCCTTCCGTGTCTGTGCGTGTTTTCTGCCTTTCTCCAATCTTCGTGTATCGCAGACAGTCGCTCAACCGATCTTAGGTTGGTCCCCCCTGAGTGCAATCACAGATCAGTAATCCGAAGACTGCTACGACAGATCCGAAAACGCAGGACGCGAATGTGAATTCAAATCTTTAAACCCTATCAAACCTCGCGTCAGTCGAACGCCGCGAGGAACCCTTCCGCTGACGTGGACACAGGACAGGACACGGAGCGATCAGATGAGTATAGGGTATTGTCGACGGCGACATGTCTGACCAACCAGGAGGACGACAACCCACCCTGTCCATACCATCTTGTAGTGGCACAACAACTAACGTATCCGAGCCACTCTTGTTAATTTCGGTTGCATCCGAGCCTCAACCCACTTAAACTCACAGGGCGACCACTAACCGAGGCACCTCGGTGAAGTTCGGATTAATCCGAACCACACCGACGACAAATTTGGATTTGTCACATGCTCAGATGGTATTTACGACGTCGCACGTTCTGATAAACGTGAACGACGAAATCACACGCTGTCAACAGACCGTGGCGTCCATCCACCGGTCCCCGCCTCGGATTAATCCGAACCACACCTCCGACAGGATAGGGTCCACCCTATGCTCATAGGTCATTGAGGAAAACACGCCATGCCGATGGTCTCCTCTTGTGGTCGGCCGTTTCTGTCTCGCATTGTGCTAATTCGGATGCATCCGAGTCACCACGCCAGACTATCGACTCTGCCCAGTTCGGATGTGTCCGAACTCCCCCCCTGTCTTCGTCTTCGACCATTCGCTCTACAAGAGGCAGTCTGATGACGAAGGTTAACGATGCCTCGGATTCATGCAACTAAAACAAGTCGAGATGGTGACGCTCGGGTGGAAGAAAGACGAGCTCGAAACTTGTGCTACGACTACAGCAAACGTGTTTGTTGTTTGGATTGGGCGAGCATCAACCAACTAGAACTCACGAGGACGGCGACATCCCCCGTGATGACGCACGTATTATAATGACACACTACGGCAATTGCGGGGAGGTCCGGTGTGTAGTGGGGCGACAACAAACCGACGCGCCTCGGCGAAGTCGGATTAATCTGAACCACACCGATGACTTGTTCACATTTACAACATGCGCAGAGGGTATTGATGACGTCGCACGGTCAGACAAACTTGTACGACAAAAGCACACGGTGTCGGCGCAACCTGTCGTGGTCGCACGTATGGGGACAGCCCCTGTCGAAATCGGATAAATCCGAGCCACACCCGTCTTAAACGCTCAAGGACGAAGACACACCGTGCGAAATTCGGGTGGACCCAAGGAAAGCTGGGGAATAACGGAAGCTTGGACGGCTGGATGGGCATCAACAGACCGTGGGGTCCATCCGCCGGTCCCCGTCTCGGATTAATCCGAGCCACATTTGCGAAGTTCAGGTTCAACCGAACCAAACCTCCGGCAGGATAGGGTTAACCCAGTGCTCACAGGTCGGTGACGAAAACACGTGCTCTGGGACATCGATGAGTGGTCCTGTTGGGTTCACGGGAGGAGAGTGCTCTGAAAGGGGGATGGGAGGTCAGGGTGGCCTGCCAAATATGCCTCCTGATCAAGAGGTGGGCATATCAGACGACTCGGAGGACGACCATCCGCGTGCTTCTTCGAAACCGTGCTTGCATGGATCTCGTCGCCAAGGTTTGCTTGGGGAGTCGACGCCACGTGGAGGCGGCGATGGCGAACGGTTGCGACAGGGCTCAGAATCGACGACTCCTCGTGGTCTGGTCGAAAGGATTCAATTTGGTTTGTTCGTTCATGGCATGCAGGTGGTCGAGGTTTCACCTGGAGATCACGCGGGTAATCCGCAGGTTCGAGAGGTGCGTGGGTCAGATGAGACGACTCGTTGAGCCCGACCTGCGCCTGCGCAACTGCAGACGGAGTTGAGCCTAGAACGAGAAGCAAGTGGGAACGTCGCCGGTGAGGAAGAGGTGTCCGAGCAGGGGCTGTTCCGTGAGAGATCGGCTGAAAAGACTCAGTCGGGAGGAAAGCGCAACTTGCCGGATGAGGAAGAGCAAGAGGGAGTAGGTGCTCTGAAAAGGCAGAGAAAGGTAGGAGGGAGTGCTCGAACACCAACAACACGAGAGGGCGGTTCTGTTGAGAAGAGGAAAAGGGTTGGAGGTGGGGACGAAACGCCAAAAGACTCGTCGACATAGCGAAGAACTGGTGAGTCTTCCGGAAAACGGTCGAAATCATCGAGGGGGAAGAAAGCAGATGAGGGCGACAGCGGGGAGGGAGATGACGACGTGGACATTAACCTCAACGCCTTCAACCTCAACAATGCGTTCTTCCTCGAGATGCAGACAGGGGTGCAGAAGGACGTCGTGTTGCACATCCATCCCGAAAGAATATTAGCTATTCCAGACTGGGAAGACGCGTACAACCACCGATCCTTGGATGAGTTCCTCGTTGATACCATCGCATCGGCTATGATCGACTGCAACGAACGTAGAGACATGAGATACACGAAGCCCATTTTCGTTCTCGCTCCGATCGTCGCGCCTCCAGAGAACGGCGAGGCTGCTGTATGCGTGCTGCCTGCTTCAACAGCTCACAGCCAGACAGCATAACGCGAGGGCGGCGATGAAGGTGAAAGACCATCCCGTGTTTGAGTACTACAACTTCTGTAAATGGTCGTCCAGACCGATCTACTTCCCTGACGACGAGTTCGACGGCTACTCCCATGTCAGCTGCGAAGACAACATGAAAGACAAGAAGAATCCACCGCGCTTGCAGGTTTTGTCTATGCGGGACATTCGCAATATCTGGAAAATTAAGGGCAAACCGCGTGTGGTGCTCGGCAATGCGTCGAAGAAAAAGGATGAGATGCGAAAGTGGGTACAGTTCATGGCGTTGGTTATGAAGAAGACACCGTACACGCCTTTGTAGAACCTGTCAACGGAAGAAAAGAAAAGAAAGGAATGGGCTGAGAAACTTCGATACTACCTCCCGCTGCCCATGGCAGATGACTCCATCTTCGCTTTGGGAGAGAAGTTCTACGAGGAGTGGTCGAAAGGGAAACTCCTTGCTTCCGACGGCCGGCGTTGGACGGAAAAGTCGCCCACCCATGAGAAGGTGGCCAAGCCAGGACTCTCCACTGTGACTGACAGCCAGGGGCTGAAGAAACACGTCTGGTACGTGAAGGTGGACGACCCGTCGTTGAAAAAGGGCAAGGGGAAGCCAAAAAAAGGCGCGGGGGAGAAAACTTTCTACGTCCAAGTTCCTGAGCCGGGTGTCCACTGCTGGAAGGAATTGGTGGACTTGACGGACCGCGAGAAGAAAAGGCTGTTGAACGGCGTCTTGAACCTTAACGTCGTGTGGGTTCAAACGAGTAGCAAGAAGTTGGCCGAGCAGGGGAAGTTCAGTGCCAAGGAGATGGTCGACATAATAAAAATGGACCGGATTATGTTGAGGCTGTGGCACTACGCGGAGTTCGAGTACGAGGAAATGGATAAGCGGGAGTGGAATGCCAACTCCCTGTTCTTGAGGTCCAAGAAGCAACTGTTCGAAGACAGTGCCCTCAGTTTCTCGGGTGTCAACACGACAACAACATCAAGAGAACGGCGGCCCTCATCAACGACCAGCATTTCCCGGCGGAGTGGAAGCGTGTCGTCCTTTCGGTGATCACGGGAGATCGCGCCAAAGGCAAAAAAAGCCCTCGGGGCGTTGATGAATGCATCAACATTATGTGGACGAGGACAAGCGCCTTAACGACGCTGGCCCAGTTTAACGTCGACCCATTGAGTGTCATAGATCATAAGGAGGCGCTGGGAAAACTAGGGCATCAGCTACGCTCCCACACTTGCGTGCTCGACTTGTGCGGAACTGTGGACCGTGCGCAGTGGGACTCTGGGGCATTCGCATCTCTGAGTGAGTTGCTGGGCTTCGTTTGTCAGGACTACTGGACATTGGTGGTATTCGTTCCCTGCCTGTGGAACCTCTCCTTCATGACATCTTTGTCTGCGCTTGGGGCTACCCGATGCTACACAGGGAAGTGGGTTCGGAAGATGGCAACAAAGAAGACGCATCAGTTCCGAAACATCGTCTGGGAGGAGCCGGATGTGATGCACATCCTTTTCAAAGGCGAGGATCCTCGGCTACTGATTCACCCGGTGTACGAGGGAGCTGTTGCTGAAGACGACGACGCCGCTCTCCGTAGGAAACAGAAAGTGACACCCACGGATGTGGAGGAGAAGTCTTTCAAGTCCTTGACTTTCGCGGACATCGGAAACCTCACCCAGAGGGGGGCTCTGTACAAGGACGGCGAGCGGAATCCGAATCAGTTATGCAATCAGCTTCTTTTCTTCTGTGGTGTGGCGGATGCCGTGCTGTTCTTGGGCAAGCCGCACGCGCAGGTGGTGTGGAGTCTGCTTCAGCAGGGAAGGCACGTCTTNCGGATGCCGTGCTGTTCTTGGGCAAGCCGCACGCGCAGGTGGTGTGGAGTCTGCTTCAGCAGGGAAGGCACGTCTTGGCCGTGGATGGGGACACAACGCAGCTCGAATACACCGTGCAGTATGTCACCCATGAAGTGTCGTCCAAGGCTTACCCATGCGATTTCCACCATGTCGTGGTCGAGCCCGTTTATGACCCGAACAAGGACATGTTCTTCAAGTTGACTCCGAAGAAAAGGCGCCAGGTCTACTCCTTCCTTTACAGCGAACAACCAAGGTTGAGATTTGATCCGCAGTACGTTGTGCGGAAGGAAGTCGTCATTGCGGTCCTCCAGGGCTACCAGGAGGGAGTCGGGTCAGCGCTGTGAGCTTCATTAAGAGGCTGGAATATGTGCTTTTTAACGAGAATGTTGTCGATCCGGCCGACTTCACTTTGGATAACTACAAGCTGGCATTCGGTGAGGAGGACGACTTCAATATCGAGACTTAGCAGGGAGAGAGCGTTGAGGACGACCTCTTCAATTTGGACGGGCAATTAGCCATCTACAACGCCCAAGTTTCTGAGTCGCCGTCAGTGTGCAAGCCGGGGACACCTTTCGCTACACCCACCTCGGGCGGCCGCACACCCGTGTCCTCCTCAGCGCCTGTCAAGAGGGGTGGTTTGTCCCGTCTGAGGAGTTCGCCGGGGGAGCCTATTCGTCTCACACCGCAGCCCGAACGTCTTCGACCCGGCCATCCAGTTCCTCCGGACCATCCGCATCTCAAGGCTCCTGCGACTCCCTTCCACATGGGCGACAAACACACCTTCTCCACAGCCGAAGATTGGGGCCATGATATCGTGTGGCACCCAGACCATTTCCTCCCAGTCCTTCTCGACGGCGAATAGGCAGTGGCTGTGAGGGACGTAAGTGGAGGGTGGATATATGACGATCGTTGGGACCTCGAGACATTCAAATCTCGCGCCTACGATGCGGTTTTGGAGAGATTAAGTGAGGTCAATCGACGAAGTAAGGACGACCCTGCTCTACGCGAATACGGGGACACGCTGTTCGATTTATTGCAGTTAAATAAATGGCTGGAAGTATCCTCCGCGTTCTACGCCCTTCCGTCAAACCCTTCAATTAAGCAAGTGAGTTGGGAGTTGCCTGCGGGCACCCTGCCAGCAGAAGTTATGAAGCGCAAGTCTCGCGGAAAGGACGGCGAAGGGGATGGTGAAGGCGGCGGGCAACGAGGTACCGGAGGTGGAAGTGAACAGCGTTCAACGAAACAGCAGTCTCCGGGGCACGCAGGCGGCGGAGAGGGGAAAAAGGGCAGCCGGGAGAAGAAAAAGCCTCGCAACGGAGAGAAGACAAAGCATCACACAGGAGACGGGCAGGGGTCCGATGTCGACCGCGACGAGGACGGTGGGGTTCTGGCGGTGACAGGCAGCACCTCAATGGAGACGAGGAACGACTTCAGGCCTGGGTGGATTACACGGCCTGGCAAGCAGGACCCTGTGATTAGCTCCACCAGCGCAACACAGTATACCGATGCTGTTGGCGGGGCAGTTGTAGCAAAGAATGGAACTTGCTTCGCTCAGCTCCAAAAACGGATGGCCGATTGTCTCGGATCTATCCAAACCTCGAAGACGACATCGTCGTCTGGAACTCGGTGTCTTCCGGGAAGCGAGACGACAACATACCACGGATCCAGCAGCGACAAGCTCCAACCATGTTCGGTTTCGCCTGAAAAGGAAGTTCGGATTAATCCGAACCTGGAAGCCAGTACCGTTGAGAGAGCACAGCGGTCTGCGGAACTCGAACAGGTGGTCCGGGTTTCCGAAAACCCTGGCGGCGAAATTCGGATTCATCCGAACCGGGAGGACGTGTCCGCCATGACAGACGACCACTGTCAGGACACCGTCATGCTGTGCATGGAAGTCCACAAGGAGCTGCAGGCAGACTGTCCGATTGAGGGTGAGTTAGCGACCAGTTTCAATGTCGAGCCCCGCACACTCGGAGCCGAATTCCTTGTGATGGTACGCACTGAGTTAGCAGTCTTAAGCGACTCTCCGGTGAAAGCGGACACGTCGTCGTCATTGGAAACTGCGGTGGCTCGGAAAAATCCAAATCAGGGCCCTGTGAGCATGTCCCTCCCTGATGCAGCTTTGGAGACGATCGTAATTCGGATTCATTCGAGACACACGGACGAAGGACTTGACGATTGTCGACTTCCGACGACTTTGGACAAGGACGATTCCGCCGACGACCGGATTGATCCGACACTCGGCGACGTCCGGATGGAGCAACCAATTCAGCCGGCATACGACGACCCCTTGTACTCCGGCCTTCACGACAAGGCGATGGGAGAGGACGTTTTGAAGAAGTCCTCTGACGCTGTTGGAGATAGATTTCTCTATTTGAGTGACGACGATAAAGACACAGCGCACAAGGACAAGAAGTTAAGGGGGGGAGAGGTGTTGTTGGACATCCATGGGACCTTGAGCACAACATAATGCGACACAGTGGTGACGGAGGAAACCCAACCTGTCGATGTTGTGGACGTCGACGCTCTTTATCCGGAGACAGACAAACTAAAATTGTCCGTCGCGGACGTGGAGGATTTTCGCCATCGGGATGGGGATGAATTCATGCCGTCGCTGGTCATCGACGCCAACATCTCGAACCTGTCAAGTTTCCCTGTGAGTTTGGAGCACGTCGTCGCCGCGTCGACGCGCACGGGGGCGCCAATTGTGCTGGGACTGCCATCGGTGGGCTCTGGTGACGTTGAAGCTAAGTCTGGTGAGCACTGTCTTCCTTTGCTTGCTTCCCGCTCGTCAGCCCGTTCGTGAAGTGTTGTTTGCTTCGTCGATTTCGAGGAGGTGTGTACGCGGCTGCCAACTGGATTTGATGATGTGCTTCGTGAGGTGTTGTTTGCTTGGTTGCTCTTGCGAAGTTGTGTTGTTGATCTCCTGCTGGACTGTCTGGGTGGCTATTTCTTGTACAGGTCGACGAGCTCGTGGACAAACACACATGTCGCAGGAGCCGCCTGCCCTCGCCAGGTTGTCAGTCCTAGTTGCGGGAGGCACTAGTTGTCGCAATGTCACTGATTCGTTTCCTGGGGAGACTAAACCTCGGGGCCCTCCCAGAAGGGTTGTCGTGCCCGTATTGGGCCCTCGCGCTAGACTCGTTGCAGAGGCAGCGGGTGTTGCCGAAAACGACTGCAAGGAATTCCTTCTCGAGGCTTGCAGGGATATAAAGAAGTACAGTGCTAGTTTAGAATCAGCTGTGTGTGGAAGGTCCAGAAGTAGGGGTGACGTTATGCGTGAACTTTTCGGGCCACAGAGTAGCGGTTCGTCGGACCATGGCCGCTAGGACGGCATTTTCTCATAGTGCTCCATCCTTTGTGCTTGCTGTGTGTTGCGGGTGTTTGTTGAACAAGGTTTCCTCGAGATGGAAGAGCAGTCCTTGAAGACGTTATCTGCTCCCGGTTGCCGCTCACTATCATCGTCGCGTGTTTGCCGTCACACAATTTACAGGTTTCCGTCAAGGACATCGTCGCACTCGTGGATGGATCCGGGGAGCTCAACGATGAGGTCGTCAATTTCTACATGGCGATGCTACTGGACGACTGCGGCCGGACTGCTGCTACCAAGAAGACGTACACCTTTAACTCTTTCTTCGCCTCTACACTGCTTCTGCGAGGTCCAGCAGCTGTTTGCAGATGGGCTAAAGATGTGGACCTCCTGTCTCATGACCTCGTCTTGGCACCAGTGCACAAGGACGGCGAACACTGAAGCCTTTTGGCCATTGACTTCTCTAGACGTGTTTTGGAAATCTATGATTCTTTCTCGTGTTCGTTATCCAAAGATGACTTCTACTCCGCACTTTTAGATAAATCTATTAAATTTTTGAACACGACGGCAGGTGTCGCCGGTGATAGTCACACTTTCGACCACTTCGCTCGCGAGGTCAGAGTGAAAGGTGTCCCTCGGCAGCACGATGGGGCTAGTTATGGGGTGTTCATGTTGATGTCCGCTTCCTGTTTGGCGAGAGGTTTACGTCCACCTTTTGGTTTCTCCCATAGACACATCTTCTCTATCAGAGTTAGACTAGCTTTGGCGATTTGCGATGTTGGTAGGTAAGTGTCTATCTTTTTGCTGATCATGTAGTGTAGAAGGGTTGACTTAGAAGAACATTTCGTTCTTCTCCGGACGAAATTTGTTCCTTTCCATTTTTTCCGAGAGAGAATGGTGGGTGTTCTCGGTTTGGTTCAGAGCAGAACTGGCTGTCACTGCCAGGATATCTCCGGGTGAAATTGTCATGTCCCCGGCGTGTTTGTCGTCGACAATATTGTTCTTTCTCATTGGCTTTCAATTCTCGCGAACGTCCCCGTTGTTGGGGCGCCTGTTTCGTGATTGGCTTTCTCACTTTCGTCATTTTGTGTCTTGTATGGTGTGATGTTCTGCCCACATACTCGGATGCATCCGAACTCCAACTATCTCTATGCTTTTCTGCCTCTCTCTCGAACCTTCCGCGTCGTCTACACTCATCTATGCATTTTCACTTTGAATGTCGTGAGGCATCACAGAGAAGAAAATACAACACAAGGGCCTCTTTATACATTGATGGTCCGTCTGGCCCTCCGCGCTGGGTGCTTTTTGGTTCCAACGTTGAATGTTGTCAATTATTTGCCCCATCAAAGCTCCCCGTCTGCACGAGCATTCATACATCCGGTTCCTTTTCCATTAGACAATACACTGAAAAATTTGAATGTGTCGAGGGAGGGAAAATCTGAAAGGCGACGCCGATGGGTGCTCCATTGTGACGAAATTTGAATTAAGGTAGCACGACTGCAAGAAACAATTGCATGATTGGGCAAAATTTGATGTAAACAACCACTATAAATTCTATGAAAAATAGAGTACGGCTGGTCAGAGAGAATCTTGACCAACGCCCAGAGAATATGTTGACGAGGGACCGATTTTTGACCTTGTCTGTTGCTATCTTACCTTTCTTTTACTGTCTTTTTTTTTTTTCTTTCTTTTTCCGTCTTTAGCGTTTGCACATTATGATTCTCGTTCTCCGAAATCATTACCATACGCATCCCAAATGACAAAAACGAAACAACATCACAGCCGTTGCATTGCGAGAAAACCGCGGAGAAAGTCATTAGAAAAACTCAATTTTATCGATCAAATGAATACAATTCATGTAACGTAACCGATTACAGAGCCTGCACATCAAAGCTCAGTCCATATCAATCGCCCAAAGCCAGAGCACAACGGGATCCGCAATGTTAACCATAGTATGGAACTAAAAACCAACCTTATCAGGGTACAAAACGGGCCTCCCGATGAGTTGGCATAAGCGCGCAACGAATCTTCAACGATTCGAAGAACATTATCATCGTCACCGACAAAGAGTAGAGAGTTATGTTGACCGGTGACACCGCCCTCAGA